AGAATTGTACCAATTACACTTTACACATTCACACTGGGACCTTACACTTTACACATTCACACTGGGACCTTACACTTTACATATTCACACTGGGACCTAACACTTTGCTAGGTTTATCCTAATCTTTATTAAAACACTTTCCGGGATTCAGATGTCAATTGACATCTTCATTATTCCCAATCTTTATATTGCAATCGTTCACATGCATCACTCTTCAACAGAATCAACGAGACATCATGTCAGAAAGACAAAAACTAAATTTAAACTAAAACTATAACTTCACTTGTAAACATTACAATTAGCATAGCTGTAGAGTTCCCGTACGATTTCATACCCTGGCCTTGAGGTACTTCTAAATTATCTCCGATCAGAAATTTGAAAGAGCTAGATCTACAATAGCACGGACAGTGACCGATATTTTAAAGTAAAATCGATATATTACACAGATAGATTCCTAGATCTATTCATGGTAGCGTAAGTAGTACAGTACAATCAGGGACCTATATATTAACATATATACGTCCCTGGTACAATATTACGGATAAGATTTTTTCTGTTTAATTTCCTATCTGTTGGGCCACTGACAGAAGTGACTGCAATGAGACCATTATGAAACGATCATTCAAAAATAAATTCATTTCAAAACACTGAAATACTCTCCGGAAGCAACAAAAATGTGCTAGATGCTTACATAACATTTTTCAAATGCATACTGCTTCAAAGGAAGAGTCTTGAAAATATTTTGAAAAAAGTGCCCAGCTTGCGCGTCGCCGTCGAGCCTAAATTCAATACATGCGATAGCTCATTTCAAATGAATTTTTGCAAAAAATGTAATTGCTAGTTCAGTATAAGTATTGACTTTAGATTCAGCTTATATATTTATATATAGTGATACTTACCTACATAAAATACCCGCCATCTTCTTTCTGCCGCCGTCTTCTTTCAGGGTCCAGCAGCAAAGAGCACCCCGGCTGTTTCCGTCAAAATTTTATGCTACTCTAAATCATTCTTATTTTAGTTTCATTCTTATTTTCAACTACATATTTCAGTATTTTCAAAAGTTTTCAACAGTATTAAACGGGATGAAAATTTTCGAAAAAGAAAAAAAAAGAAAGATATATGACACCCACAATGCATCGCGCGGAAAAGAAAGTTAAGCCACCATATTGACATCGCCTCGCAAAATTTACCACCATAAAACGTGAGTCTTTGTCATTGTATTTACAAATTTCGATGTCTGATTATCATTAATACACAACACAAAACGTTTTCTTGATGTACAAGTAACGAAGAAAATGTCGATAAGGTTGTTTCATTGAATGACTGGCATCAGCAACTTGTAGGGGCGATAATCCAATTATTACGGTAATGTCCGGCAGATGGAGTAGGAGTAAATTCGATTTATGAACCAATGAAAACGAAGTACTGATACTCGGGGCCAGGGGCGACAGCAACATGCTGAAGAGCATTGAAAATGCTCTTAGCATAAAAAGCAAGCAATGTAACCCTTTCATATCCAGAACCATCAATGTTTATAGCAATTATGATAATTTGATGTTCAGGGTTAGAAAAATCCACTCGTCTGCTCGTCTAGATGAGTCAAAGCTACTTGCGAGTGAGTGATTTGTTTCAGCTGCTTGTCCTGCAGGCAAGTTAAATTTGTAGTTCTGACTATTGAATATTCCATAATAAATGACGTTTATCAACTTAAACACTCTTAAAACTAATTTAAATCCACAGATAGTCGATCAAATACATTGATGTAGTATCCTTGTTTACACCACGTGTCAAGACTTGGGCTGATCAAGACTACACGAAAACCTATTACATCACCACAAATGTTGTAAACAAGGTTGTTTTTTGTGTACGTAGTAACTGTCAAAAAGCTGATGTTCTCGCTCGCGTTAACAGTGAATTAGATATGAGTAAAACAATAAAAGCAAGCGTTTTGTACAAACATTTGATATAGAAATTGATAATAAGATTTGTGTTCCTTAATTTATGTTTTGCTGCCTTTTTTTCTTCAGGTGAGTGAATATTGGATTCGGGCAAGCAAATTTCAAGTTTCACTTGCCTGACGGACAAGTAGCTGAAAAATACAAGACATAGAATGAAATTCCAAAGCTATACATTTCTTCAATGGTGTACGTAGCATTTCTTAAAGTGTACCCTGAGAGTAATTTTATATTTAAATATAATGTTAAGAATGCCGTAAAAATAATAATAATGAAAACCCCGTCAAAATCCGTCGCCCCAGTGTCGAGTTATTAAAGCTCAAAGTTGTCGATTTTCACCTGTCCGCCCAGACCTAATCAGCCGAATCGTCATTTCCGCGGAATCGAGGTTCTTCTACTCGTGACTAAAGTTCAACAGAAATGGCAGTCAACATGACTGACAGTGACAACGACACCGCAACTGAGAGCGATTTGAGCATGAGTTTTGAGGAGTCTGATTATGGTGTGAATGATATGTCTGAAGACGGAATCCAGCCCTACCCATTTGAACTGGAATTACAAGACGATGTATCCAGTGAGGAGGAAAATGACCCTTCGAAAAGTGACGATCGCTTGGGCAACATAGATTGGCACATACTTCACTGGGTCTCACCAGTAGTCGTGAAAGTAGTCAAACAGTGAATCGTCGTTTCAAAGAAACAAAATAAAATTGGGTGTGGTTTTGGACTAATTTTACTATCTTCAAGTCTCAATCAACAATTTCTGACGTCGGGAAATCGCGTTTGTGCAAGACTATGCATACATTCACGAGGTGTCAGGAATTTTCTTACCGAAGAAGTTTCGTCCGAGGGGAATTTTTCTTTCCAGGGAATTTTCGTAGCACTATGGATATATATAGATAGGGTGTCAACAACCAATTATAACGCCCTCCGCTGTGTTAATAATAAAAATTTGATGTTTTAGAAGTTTAAACATTTATTTGACTGGTTTTTACCCGAGCACTGGTACGCGTCTGTTGTTAGCCGACAGGCGTGTCGCCTCACAGGTGTCACAATTGTTTTTTCCAGCCACAGAGGTGCTAATTACCTACCCTGGCACAGGTGTGATTATGAGTTTAGATGACATCTCTACACTGTGAACTGTTTTCAAATCAAGATTGGTGATCTTATTGTTATTTTTACGATCGCAAAATTAATAACTAAACAACATCGTCTGCTGGAAGATCTAAAAACCAAATACACCTTATACAAACAACATACACACATAACCTATTCTATAAATTCTAATAATTCTATTCTATACTATATAATAGTAGTATGAAAATTCTCGGGGTGAAAATTCCCGTGACCCATTCACGACTAGGCCTTCTCCGAGTATTAGGAGTTCACGATTACGAAGGAATAATATTCCTATGACCGCCCAAGTCATAGGCTAGCCTATCAATTTAAAATGTTTAGTTGTAGAATTAATAACAAAATATCAACCTAACAAATATACTTTTATTTAATCAACAATCAGTTTTATTTATTGACGTCATGCATCGGCACCCCATCCGTGTTAGTGTTAGGACAACCATACACACCGCTTCCCTCCTCGATAGGAAGCCATTTTAGCGGATTCACCTAATTCACCAACCCCTCGTTCACTACCTTAGATATTGCGAAGATGTGAAGTACTTTCACGTAAATAAACAAAGAAATTACCATGGAAAATCCCAAAATAGATCACAATCACATGTAGCACAGTAAAAACAATATGGCTGCATCAACAAAAGCGTTGAACTTATGACGTCACAGGTTTGGGTGCCCGAAAACGAGGTCAACGCCTCTCAGCCAAAGGTGTGTTTTTCAGAAAAGTTGCAATTTCTCAGCAACGGAACATTCCACGGCATTCGCGTTTTCGGCATAGTGTATTTCATGTACAGAACTATTTTTCAAGGTCAACATAGCTGACCTCTCAGGGTACACTTTAATTTTGCAAAGATACCAAGATTATGTTATTGGGTGTCTGCTTTAGTCAGCTTTACAATGTCCCTAGTTAACTGGCATCTGCTTTTTCTCAACATTACTATCTTCCTTGCATGAAGGAAAAGTAATTGTCAACAACTACTTTCTTTTATTATCTATTTATTAAGTATTTATTTTCTAACAATAGCTCTAGACATGATGAAAAATGTTACTGAAGAAAAATGCATTTAAATTACTTGCAATTTTATTTTGCTTACAACATTTTTTCTACTGCTAACCTATATATGGATCTACACATATATACAACAGATGGAAGAGAATGTTATTACGATATTTAAATTTTAAACACATTTTCTTCCTATAAAACATAAGTTTTCAACTGGCTACGGAAGCAGGATCAAAGTGACGGAATAATGCGATAACAGCCCGACCAAAGAACTATCGCATATTTGAAGGATGAGTCAGAACATGATTTTACACAAAGTCAACAGCGTTCAATTCGTTCGACGATACAAAATAAAATATCCACGGGGACAAGAAATGACGTATTTTAGAACTACTGAGATCGAGCGCAATTAAGAGAAAATATGCGGGATGTGTGTATTAGGACCTACTGCAAGTGCCCTTCCCATTCCATCACCCCCTGCCCCCTTTCGATTTACCTTTGTGTATTGTTATTTTCCAAGTCAATAAACAGAAATGTATCGCCGATTACTTAGAATATGTTCACCCCGCTACAAGACAATGATACATATGAAAATGAACAATCTTAAATGTTTATTATCCGAATTTGTTTTCTAAATTCATGAATGACAGTTCGTATACTCATTAAAGATGGTGACTGTCAGTTGCCGTAATAATATCCATGGACACACCAATTTTAGACATTTGTTTCAAGTACAGCACAATAAATGCTAATAACGAAAATGTTGGAATGACACAATGGGTACAAATAAACGATTTTTCAGCGTCATGTTTGACAAGCATTTCTAAATATTCTGTCGCTAGGCGGAGGACTAAGTTTCATCATGTTGCTCCTAGTTATGACATTCAACAAATCCCTCCGAACATTTTTTACCTTCATATCTCGCGGCCTGTTCAGCCAATTTACTTCTATATACTAATTCTTCCCGTTCAACCATTTTGATGCTCTAAATTCCTCGGTGAAGCTGGATTTCCGATGAAATCAACAGGAAGTTCGCGATTAAGAGGAAATGGCCCCTAAAAAGTAGTCCACCTGAAAAATTCGATAGGTTATGTATTCATGCGTCCTACTAATGTCAGGAATTCCTGCCAATGAATGGCAGGAAAGTCAGGAAATGGCAGGAATGCATGTTAGTGGATTAAGTTTGTGTTTTATGAATTAAAATAAACAATTCTAAGTTAATTAAAGTATTTTACATTTTATTTTAATGTTTTACAGATTTTATTATATTTTAGATTGCACTTTGAGAACTAATGTGCAAGTCGTGATAAGTAGGCCTACTACTATAGTAAGTAATGGCGGCCGTCGATATTCATGGTAATATCGACACTTTATTGAAATGATTTTTGATGATCAAATATTTGAATTGATCTCAATGCAGGTGATCCTAGGAAGATGATATGGGGTTTATATAGATCTATTTGAATTTAATTATGTTTTCGTATTGTTTACCAAGATATAGATCTACAGCCAGTAGGCTACGGCAGTACGGTAATCCTGTCATTCATGACAATCGACTCGATCGACTCCTCCGTGAATCACTCATGTTCCTGGCTATCATATCTAAAATTGTGAGTGATAATGCCAATGATGTAAAGAATTAAATTTGATTTTTCATTTTAGAGAGTACAGTCATGTACAGTCACCTAAATCATCTGTAGTATATCGTGTATTGTAGCCTACGTATGTACGGCTTTTACCTAGTAAAGGGCGATAAATCTTACATGTTCACAATCATTAATACTAAATATGACACTGAAATAAAGTGACAAAACATGTGTAAGATTCTATATAAAGGTATTAATAAACTCTTATATTGTGATAAACTATATTAATCTTGTTTACTTCCCCTGTACTTTGTTTTATTAGTAAAATACCTACTAGATCTAAAATACATAGAAACAATTTATATTGAATTAGATCTGCATTCTACACATTAAACATGTTAAACTGAATAAGTGTAATTGAATGTGTAACATGAAACTATAATTTACAATATAATGATGCATTATAGGGGAAATATACAGGATAATTAAATCTCTGTACATATACAACAGGTCAGTAAAATTACTTTATTGATATTGATATTATTAAATAGTGCATATATTTTATGTATACAAAACAATGGTTACTTTTCTAGACATTTATGTAGCCCTGAAAAGGGCTGTTTTGGTTATTTTATTATGCAGTTGGTTTGCATAAAATTCTTCTGATCCTGTTGCCATACTTGATGATTCCTGTGTTTCTTCTATCTGATGTGTGTGTCTGTAAGTGGACCTGGTCTGGTAAAAAATCTTGTGGGTACTTGATGTCATCGAATGTGATGAAGTCAGTGTAAAATTTCTTCTTTAGGAGCTTGTTTACTTGTTTTCTTTGTCTGTCAAAGCTGTCTTTTGTTAACCCCAGAGATTTTGTGAAGTTCCCTCTTGTTAGTATTTCCCCAATAAAAACACAATGAACCCCTATGTTGTGGAAATGTGCAACTAGAGTGCACATTCTGTCAAAGATGTCCCTTGGTGTTGATGTAGTTGTTATGTCGTTCCCGCCTATCTGTACAAATACTGTGTTGGGTTTGTGTCTGGCAACTGTGTTGAGTAGTTCAGGATCCATTCTATCTGTACGAAGTCCCCCCTTCCCACAAAATACTGTGCATACTCCTGGAACGTGAAGATCTCCATCTGAAAACCTCCTTAGTCGTTCAATAAAACTGCTTCCAAACAAGACGGTTACTGCCATGATTGTTGTATCACAAAAAATTTTCCCTTCATTTATGTGATTTGATAATTATTGACCCATACTATGATTAGCTTGGGATAAGTGTTCACTTTCTTTTTTTTTTAACTTTTATAAACCAATTATTAAAATGATACATTTAGGTGTCATCAAACATCATGTATTCAGCTTCTAATGTGTCATTATCATGAGTGATTGTTTATTAAGGGAAATCAATTCAGGAGTTTATTGATTACTAAATAATAACTGTTAAAGCCATGCATGCACTGTTGTTTGGACAGGTGAGACACTCCTCAGGTGAGCTGTCAGCCACTCTTGTTTATTCAAGTGATCACTAATAATTGCTAATAGGAGCAAATTTGTTGTCTGGCAGTACCTGTTGCTTTTATTTAGTGATTAAGTAATCAACACTGATTTTTTGAATACTTTTTAACATGAATGAAAACAATTCAGTAAAAATTATATCATATAAATATGGGCATTTCACTCAGTACATATCATACCCATTGCAGAACCCTAACAGGTAACATATTGTTCATTTCTTTTTAGTGCTTTTTATCAACTGTGTACATAATTCAGGTAAAATATTGATTGTGTTATTTTTGTTTAGACTTTTAGTGCTGTCAATTATGTCTGTCCTTGTAGCTGGTGATTCGCAGGCAAAATATTTTGATAGTTATCTTTCTGAAAATGATGGTGCTAAGGTGTTGTTTAGGAGTTATGGGAAAATAGGAAATATTTGGGGATTGATCAGGGATGTTGTGTGTCATCATGATGTGCTGGTTATTCATAGTGGTAAAGACAATCTGTCGGGTGGAGATAGTGTTTCGGATATTCTTAGGTCATTTCAAAGTCTTGTTGAGAAAATTTGGCATGGTCATCCTGATATGCACATAGTGATATCAGGAATTCTTCCAAGAGGGCAAAATTTACATGGGAATGTTTTGGTGAAGCATTCATATTTGGAGGGTATAAATGATAAGGCTAGGCAGATTAACAGGGCTTTGGCAACAATTTGTGGCAAATATAGGCAGTTATCATTCATAGGTCATGGATATTTTTCGCAGGGAGGATTGTTGAAGAGGTCATTTTTAAGTAGAGATGGACTGCATCTTAGTGTAGATGGTAGTAGACAGGTTGTGAAAACGATGATGGACTGTGTTTGTTTTGTCAGGAAAAGATTTATTTGGCCTTGTTTAAATTCAATTTGGGATCAAGAGTGTGAAATAGTTACTAGTAGTTCAAAAGAGGAAAGTTCAAAACTGGTTAGTTCAAAACTGGTTAGTTCAAAACAGGTTACTTCAAAACAGGTTACTTCAAAACAGGCTAGTTCAAAACAGGTTAGTTCAACTCAGGATAGTTCAAATCAGGAAAGTTCAAAACAGGATTGTTCAAAACAGGATTGTTCAAAACAGGATTGTTCAAATCAGGATAGTTCATATTATTGCAGCTAAGTTATCAATTGGTTTAGATTGTTCTGTGAAAAAACGTACAATTAATCTGAAACAGTTATGTAAGAATTCACACAAAAAATCTGACAAAAAATCTGGAAGAAAAAGACCTCGTGATCTGGATGTAGAAGTAATACCAGCCCCTGATTCAAAAGTAATGAAATTAGATAATAGTGAAGACTCCATGGACACTGAATGTATAAAATCTAAGAAAAAGTTACAATTTGATGAACAACCACAAATTAAAACAATAACTCCAAATTCTTCTAGAAAAGATCCATCTGAAATACAAACTATTATTGAAAACACAATAAATAACACTCAAATTTCTTCTGAAACCGTTAGGTCTGAAATACCAGCTATTATTAAAAACAATGAAAACATACATAAAATAGATCATACTACAAATACTCGTACAACTACATGTAAACAGCTCAAATTACCTGTCAAAAAAAGAGATTTTCCAAACAACAACAAAAAACCTTGGGTAGGAACTCTGACAAAATGGCACAAAGCTAAAATTGAAAATAATGGATGGTTATGTTCAGATATAATGGAAAATGTACATAGTATTTTATCGCGTCAATTTCCCACTTTCAATGGTTTTCAACATACAACATTTGCACCAGTAAAAACATCTGAAGGAAAACGGACAATGAACAGTGAATTCCAACCACAAACATCTCCCTCAGGACAGATACATCATAATGGTAAACAACACTGGGTGACATCAGTTCAGTCTCAAGATGGAACAATTTATGTTTTTGATAGTTTACAGAGTGACAAATCAGACAATACAGTATCTGACTCATTACAAATACAACTTTCTTCAATTTATGGACCTTGTGGTAGTACCTGATGTACAACAACAAGAAAATGGTTTTGATTGTGGTCTTTTTGCAATTGCACATTTTGTTGAATATTGTTTTTCAAATTTCACAGGTTCTAAAAAGGTAAACTTCTGCACACAGTATCTCAGACGGCATTTAATTACTTGTTTAGAAAATCAATCTTTCAAACCTTTCCCACAAATAAAATATAAATCTAAAGCTGAACCAAAACATAAAACTGTTAAAATTGAATGTAATTGTAGTTGTGGTAAACCGGACTGTATAGAAGACATGATTGGATGTGACTGGACAAAAGGTAAAAAACAGTGTGTAAATTGGAAACATCGGAGTTGTGTAGAAGATTTGACAGAGAAGGGAGACTGGTTTTGCGACTTTCATCGAAACACATAAAATCTGAATCTGTAGTGTATTATAATTTGATCTCTAGGTAATTTCAGTATTTGATAAAATCCAGTTGCAGATCGGCTTGTCACACCGTAATGTGGCCTATTTTATAGGTAGAACTTTCTGTATCTTGGATTAAATAAAACTATTTTTGTTACATTCTATTAATTTGGTGTTTTTTTTTTGGGGGGGGGGGGATTGTTGCATATTTTCAGGGTTTCAGGTATATAATTCTTCTTATGGTGTATTGTGTTTTTTAGGTGGAGTTTCAGGTATTACTATTTTTGCCATTTTTATATTATCAATAGATCTATAGTTTGTCTCAAAATTATTTGTCACAGTCATTTCGATAGTTTTGGACTAGAAAGGAATGTCGTAGAAAGCTGAAATTTGGACACATACTTTCCTATGTGGCAGCATTTTGTTTTCTTTTCAAATTCTGATGTTGTTATCAGTATTTCGACATTTATAATAAAAAGTATGTTTTACTATAGGACGTCCCATTGACTTTCTGAAGAAATACGGTGTCCCAGAGGAGGCATAACAATATCATTGTCACATTATTTGGCATTAATTCTTAATCATATTGCATAAGCATCATTATTGCCAAATATCAATGTTCTAGG